AGTTTTTTTAATTCAATAATTTTTTTTAATGTTTTTCTAGTTCTCTTTTACTTTTTCTAGTTCCTTCTCTTTACTTTTAGTTTCCTTTAACTCCTAGTTTTTTTCTATTTATTCTCATTTTCTTCAAAGTCTTTTCAAACTCTCCAGAAAATGACTCTCAAAATGATCTAATTTTTCATGATATTATTATTACCAATATTATTTTTTATTATATTTATAACTATATTTTATAAATTATTTCAATTTTAAGGGGGTACCGTGTAGTCGTGTACTACTCCTACCACCCTTAGGGGTGGGCAATCGGGTCCAGGAACCGGGAGTCGGAACCGGACCGCTAGGTTTGGTCCGGGTTAGGGTCGAGTCCTCTTTTCAAAAATTTCAAACCGTCTGGGTCGGTCCGATCCTTATAGATTTTAGGGTCGGTCTGGTTCACCATTTAGAAATTGTATTGGACCCGGATCGGACCGTTTTTTTAAACCCCAATATTATTTTTAATACTCCATATTATTTTTAGTAAATATACGGATATACGGAAATATACCCGCCTAAGCCCTTCAATCTTTCGATCCTTCCAATCGCAGGCAGAAAAGTGAGAAAACCTTTCGTAGTCAGAGAGTCGAAATCCATGAAAATTGTGAATTTTGTTCTTTTTGGAACCCATTGACATTATAATGAAAAAATGTAGTTGTCTTCTTTTTTTGTTGTTGTTATTGTTGGATGATCATGGGGTGTACACTTTATTCTCGTGCCCCTCTTTGTTATTGTTTTATTTTCATTTACACCTATTTTTTTGTGTTGGATGACTTAAATTAATTTATTATCACTTTATTTTTTTTAATATTAGTATCATGATAGGTTTGGACTCATTGACACGTGGAATCAGCCCATTTCAAACAAGACGGGTTAGGTCCGGTTTCAATTTTAAAATTTTGAAAACCCGTTCTGGTCCGGACCGTTTTAATAAAAACAAGACGAGTCCGGTTTATACAAATCTTGGCTCGGACCGCCCGTGCCCACCCCTAGCCACCCTTTGATTGTTGGTTTGTATATTGAGAGCATCTTTTGAACTTAAACTTTTAACTTCCAATTTCTTCCTGTTACTTTTAATTTTTTTAGTTTCTTACTTTCATCCAACTCTTTAAAGTTTTTCCCGGTTTTTTCAAGTTTTTTCTAGTTTCTTATGGTTACTTTCTTTTTCCTCCAAATCCTTCTAGTTTTTTCCTATTTATTTCCATTTTTCTTTAAAGTCTTTTCAAACTCCCCAAATGATGACTCTTAAACGGATGTATTCTTCATGTTATTCTTATTATTATTACTATTTTTATATGTTTATAGCTATAGTTTATAATTTATTTTAATTTTTTATTTTTTTCCCATGCCACTATTTTTTTATTCACACTCATTATATTTTTTTCTTTGACATTTTAATATAAATAATACACTTTTTTGTTTATTAATTACATGACACTAACCTATGTTCAAAAAACTATGGAGAAGAGAGTTATTTATAATTAATCCAATAAATTTATCTCGGAAAAGTTCAATATTTTTAATTAAAAAATAATTATTATACTATTATATTATGAAAAAGAAAAATGATCCATAAAATTCAGATAACACGGAATATAATTATTAAATACATTTTAATTATAAATATACTTCATATTATTTTATAATAAATACTACATAAGTAAATTGAGGTGTAACCAAAAAATAAATTAAAATTTAACATTTTAATATTAACTAAAATTTATTTTGCAAAAGTAGCAAATATTTTTTTGTATAGATTATGATATTACTTTATTCTTTATTACTCCCTTGTCCAAGAGTACTTGTCCACATTTAATTTTTTCGGTCAAAATTGATAAACTTTGATTCCAAACTAAATAAAAATGACATTAGATATTGATACATATATAGTTTTATTAGATTTACTATATAAATTATTTTTCAAAATATTATTTCACTTAATTATTATGCAATATTTTATTTAATTATAAGTCAAAGGTTGAAAATAATTGATTAAAAAAAGTCAAAACTGGACAAATATACCGGGACAGAGGTATTATCTTATAGATATTAATTATTAATAATGATTATAAATATAAATATAATAAAAATAAATAATAATAAAAAAACAATAACCGTAATAAATTATAATGATAATAACAATAACAACAACAAAAACAAGATTAACAACACCACCAACAGTTATAACAAGAATAATATGAAAAATAGAATTAATATTTTTTAAAGATATCTCCAATTTCTTATAGTTTTTTCATATTCTTTCTTTTTTTTTATTGTTCTTCTAATATCTTCCTTTTTGAACCACAACACAATTCTATTACTTACCAACAAACATACAAGGAAGAGTTGCATCAAATTCTCTGTCCAAAACTACATGAAAAAGAGGTCAAACAGAATGCTTCATTTTGTTGCTTATATAGCCCCAATTAAAATTGAATCTAGTGTAAGCAATGCATTCTTCTTCCTTGATGAACTCTTGAAAATGAAGCTTCATATTCCTATCAAAAAGAGTGTTTTTATGGTGCACATTGGGTGCATACCATTTTTGTCACTTTCTCACATAATTTTTTTTATTTAAAAAAATAATGCTCATCAAGGTAGTAAGAATTTACTTATTTTTCTCGTGTGTAAGTTCATAGTGGACCTTAGGTCTTTCAAAGAATTTTTCGTCCAAAAAATAAACTTCTAGAAAATAATTTTTTTCTAGAAATCATTTTTCAAAAATTATTTTCTCCTTTTCCAAAGGGACCACAAAAATATTTTCACGTACTCGCCCGAACACCGGCGACGGCCCAAAGCAGCATTTTATATATCCCAGTAGAAATCACCATAAAAAGGACTAAAAACATAGACAAAAGTACTAAAATAGGACTTTCATGTTTTTTTCCCGAAATAGAACTTTGCTCTGTGGTAATGTGTCACTGTACATGTGCACATTACTATACTTTTTTGGTAATGTACATGACCATGTTTGGTAACGTAAGTCCTATTTCGGGAATAAAAACATGGAAGATTGGGAGTCCTATTTTAATATATTTTTAATGTTTTAGTCCTACTTTGGTCTTTCGCGGATTCCGGGTAGTTGTATGGAACGAAATAGGTCAAGTGACTCAAGTCCAATCTGCCCATTGAATCAATCAGGCCATATCGGGCAGATTTTCGGTTCATTTAGGAACTGTAGACAATCTGGGCGCACTGTATCTAAACTACACGCGGACTCCGCTATAAGACAGATTTTGGGCACAATCCGAACAATTTTAAAATCTAATCTTTATTTCCAGTCATTTCAAAGTTTACTTTCCAAATAAATGCATTTGCAAGCTGGCTTGTCTTCACCCTAATTTTAGAGATAATGAAAGATTTCGATGGAAAATAAGAAAATAAATGTGTCCCCCACACATCCCAAAGTGCAGTATTTAATTTATTTTATAATTGTTGCATGGGAAGAATATTATTTTATATTTAGAAAATTGAGCTATATGAAAAGTTTTATAAAACAATAAGTTAGAAAAGTATATTATTTTATTACATCATTGATGAATATATAAACGGTCCTTCAAGTCACGTTAGCGTTGTGTGATTGAATTGGTCATTTTGTTAATTTTATTGTTAGTCGTGCATTTTTTCATTTTTTATTATAAATACACGTGACGAACCTTCTTTTTTCATACAATTGACTTATACATTTTGTAGATTCATTTTAATTGAACTATTGGTAAAAAATTGTACTTGGTAGAATGTAACAAGTCAAAATTTTATACTTTGCAAATACTTTAAGGTGGAATGAGTATTTCTTTATAAAATTAAACTAATAAAAGCAAAAGTAACTTATTTTATTTAAAATTTAGAGTAACTATTACTCCCCCGTCCTAAAACGTTATTCCTAATCACTATTTACATGGTCAATTTTTTTTTAAATTTTATACCTACAATCAAATAAATTAAATTGAAAATAAAGTCGGTCAGACCTCGTAAATAAAAACGGGAAGAACGTTTTAGGATATAGGGAGTATTATATATTAAAAATGGACCTATATTATTTGGCTCAATTATATGAAGAAAAAAGACTTCGTTCTTCACATGTAAATAAAGCGGAAAATAAAAAATGTATGGATTAACGACAAAGTTAACAGAAGAACCAACCATGCAACGTTAACGTGACTTGAAAGATTATTCGTGAAATTTTCAAAGTTGAAGGACCAATCATGCAACGCTTACATGGCTGAAAGGACTGTTCGTGAAATTTTCAAAGTTGAAGAACTAATAATGCATAACGTTTAATAACTTGAAGGACTAACGGTGGAATTTAGCCCAAGCTAATTTATGTAACAATGGGATTTTATTCCGAGAGTTCTATATTTCTTTGTTATTATTATTCTTCGTGCCCCCATATATAGTATACATCAACAGTATTTCTAGTATATTTGATCCCTCACATGCATCGTCTTCATACCAAGCAGAAGAGCTAGCCTTAATTACAATCCTCGATCGATTTATTACTCCTTATATTATTAGTGCTGTTGTGATCAAAATAACATGCATGCATGTGAAAGAATTTCTTGAAAACATGGAATGTATATTTAGCATTATGTATTTTTAAAAACTTCAAAAAAAAAAAAAATCACTGTCATGTAGATCAGGGCTGACACATTTTGGCTAAATGAAAATGACTTCAGTTGGGAATAAGGATGCAAGTTTGCTCTTGATAATGAAGACAAAAATATGCACTGCTTAATAAGAACAAACAAGAGTGACAAAAAAGACGACTTATGAGAATAATACTCACCCCAAAAATTGTACCCCATTTGTACACCGCAGTTATACACAAACATTTTGATGGTTTACACCGACACAAGTGTTGGTGCTGTAGGACACAATTTTATTATGTGGCCTGAGTTATCATTTATCTAATTAATTGATCATTGACCTAATAAATACCCTACGCATTTAATTGGTAATTATTCGATGGACGTAATTACCCTTACGACCTAATTAGGGTTTCCCCTTGGGTATATATATATAGAGGTCATTAGGCATAGATCAGAACACACCAATCTTACGCCTCCTCTCTGCCTCTCTATTCTCGTGAGTCTCATCCTCACCATAGCCATCATAACGATACACCTTAAACGGGAACTCGATCTGCGTGAGAATCATGACCTCATCCCTAACTACGTTTACAGGATTATCAGGTACACATGATTAAATCCCTAATTTATATTTTATGTTTAAGAATTGATCAATAGGTGCGTTAACAAAAATTTACACAGACACAAAGTGTTGGTGCGTTAACAAAAATTAGTTTTACATCGACACAAAATGTCAGTGCAAACCCGCAGTGTACAAAATGGGGTACCAAAGTTTGTGGTACAAATAGCTTTATCCATAATAAAAAGTTATTGTTTACTTTTATAAGTTAATTCTTACCCTCTCTTGTCTTTGAGTAGTTGTACAACTTTGATTTTTTCACAGTTAGTCACTTTCAATGTTTGACATATAGCTAAATAAAAATTACTCCATATTTGGTATACTAATTACACAAAATATATAATATTTTGAAAATATTTTATAAAATAATCTAATAAAATTATTTTAGCATCAATACCTAATATGAATTTTACTCCGGTATTAAATTGATGGTCAAAATTTGTCAATTTTATTTCAAAAAATCAAAACTGGACAAAATACCTAGAGACAGGGGTGATATTTATTTTTTTCGCAAATTTTAATACTCCTTCCGTCTAAAAAAAGACTCGTAGTTACTATTCACTGATCAAACTAACTCTATTTTTATACATTTTCATCGATCATTTGATAAAATAAAATAACTTCGATACCACTTAAAAATGAGTTGTCTAAGGCCCTGTTCTTTTAGGTTGGAATTTCAGAATTGGATGTTGGAAGAAACTAAAAGGAGTTGGAAGAAACTGAAAAGAGTTGGAAAAAACTGGAAGGAGTTGGAAAATGTTGGAAGAATTTACGAGTTAAAAAATTACTCAATTTAATGATCATTCAAATAAATATGTAAGAGACTCTAATTTTGGATAAAAAAGAATTCATCATTGTCCGTGTTGATGAGGTGATATATTATAAATTTGGATATATAATGTTATTTTATGTTAATCATATATAAACACCTTTTTAAGTTGTTGGAAAAACTGCAAGGAGTTGGAAGGAGCTGGAAGAAACTGGAAGCAATTGGAAGAAGTTGGAAGTTAATTTTTTCAGCTCAAAAGAACATGACCTAAGTAAACAATTTACAATTTTTATACTGCATCCGTCCTATATTGATCTTCCCGCTTTGACTATAGTTCATTTTTTAGGGATTGAATTTTTTCACTTTGACTTCCAATTATACCCTTCCTTTGAAAAAAAACTAATTCAGGGATTAAAGCTCACTTGGTGAGTGTTTTCTAAGTTAAACTTGGTGTGCAGGGCCAATCTTGCTATAAGATTATCACTTGGTGGAGAAGATAGCGAATTTCACTCGAGAAAGAATCCCTGAACGAGTTGTCCATGCGAGGGGGGCAAGCACCAAGGGCTTCTTCGAGGTCACGCACGACGTCACCCACCTCACATGTGCCAATTTTATCTGCGCCCTCGGCGTCCAGACGCCGCTCATCGCCAGGTTCTCCACCGTCATCCACGAGCGCGGCAGCTCCGAGACCATCCGCGACCCTCGCGGCTTCGCCATCAAGTTCTACACCCGGGAGGGTAACTTCGATTTGGTTGGGATCAACTTCCCTGTGTTCTTCATCCAGGACGGCGCCCAGTTTCTTTGGGATTGAAGCTCACTTTCAAGATCTGAGTTTCAGGGATTTGAGATTCAAAATGTAATTCCACAGAATCCATATGAGTCAGGGAGAAGTGTAATTCACAGAGACACTAAGAGAGGGCAAGGATGAGAGACGCAAGAGAAGCAAGAGATAGATCTAGGTTTAGGTTTTAGAGGAGGCACGGAAGTGTAAGAACGGAGTAGATGAAGAGATAAGGTCAAGAATGGGGAGTGGGCAGTGAGATAAGGCCTACGTAAATGGGGTGGGTGGAGTAATAAATATTTTAACCTTTTAGGGGTATTATAGTCATTACATGTGCATTTAAAGTGTGTGGGAAGATGATTTTAGGACGGAAAAAAAGAGAAGTGGGAAGATGATTTTAGGACGGAGGGAGTATAAGAAAACAATAACCTAACAAATTGTGTCAAAAAAACTTTTGAAAGAACTCATTGTAGCTTTTAACAAAAAAATGACATTCGAACGTAACGTTCAGCAGCATTTTGAAGTACTCGAGTTTACTCCGTAACATTTTGAAGTAAGGCTCGCTTACTTACCCGAGTGAGTGGGCTTCTTGTACTGCTTAGTTGAGACTCACCTTGTCGCTGACTCTGTTTGCTTAACCTTAGAAATAGCTGAAATCTTACATATAGATTTATAACAATCTCATGTTCTTGGTATTACTGGTTTTAAACATTATATGTTGCTATTGGATGATTTTCCTCATTATCTATGGGTTTTTCATTTAAAACATAAGTCTGATACTTATACCCCCCTCACTTCTTTTGTTAGCTATGCCAAAAATCACTTTAATACTACCATCAAATCTGTTTTGTGTGACAATAGTACTGAATATCAGTCCAACCCTCTCCACCCACGGTCTACCCAGTCCCGACCCCACCTGCTTCACCCCCACCACCCCCTTACCTTAAATCAACACCCCATGGTCACCCGATCCAAACCTGGCATCTCCCACTCTAAACACATCCTGAACCTCAACACTATTATCCCTATCTCCCCCTTACCCCCGACTTAACGTAGAACCGTAGTGAACTAAAAGTTCCAAACTGACATGCTGCAATGTGTGATGAATTTAATGCTTTGATAAAAAATGATACATGGGAATTAGTACCCCCTTCCCCCACCCAAAATATTATCACCAGGAAATTGCTTTTTTGACACAAACTTGGTCCCTAAGGTGAGTTAATCAGGTACAAAGCTTGATGGATAGTTTGCGGATTTAACTAGAGACTCAGGGTCAATTATGATGAGACTTTTTGCCTGGTCATTAAACTGATAGCTGTTCAGATTGTGCTCAACATTGCTCTTTCATGGGGTTAACCTATTCATCAACTAGAAGTCAAGAAAGTCTTCCTTCATGAGCACCTCAAGGAACCTTTGTATGCTACTCAACCTTCCAGGTTTGTAAATCCTGCCAGACTTCATTACATGTGCAAGCTCAAAAAGGCTCTCTATGGCCTAAAGCAGGCCCCAAGATCATAGTATTACCACTTTGCCGACTTCATTCAAACCTTGGGCTTTGATGGTTGTAAGTCTAACAAATCACTCTTTACTTTCTATTGTGGGGTAGATATAGCTTACTTACTTCTTTATGTGGATGACATTGTTATCATTTCTTCTTTAGAGTCTCTTCTTCAACAATTAACTATGAAGCTCAAAGGCAAATTTGTCATGACTGATATAGGGGATCTTCACTTCTTTCTTGGCATTAATGTGCACTGCACCGCCAATGGCCTATTCTTGCATCAGAGGCAGTTCACTTATGATATCCTTGAATGTGTTGGGATGGTATCCGGTCTTCCGGTTTCTACTCTTATTGATACAAAGGCAAAACTCTCGAGCACATCTAGCTCCTTGGTACTTGATCATGCTCTCTATTCCTCTATCGTTGGTGCCCTTTAGTATCTCACGTTTACTCGTCTAGATATCACCTACGCTGTTTAGCAACTATGTCTTCATTTTCATGCTCTAAGTGATGTGCATCTCAGTGCCATGAGGCGTGTTCTACGCTACCTTAGCGGAACTACCACTTATGGTATCTCTCTTTCTTTATCTAGCACTGACTCTTTACAGACCTATTCCAATGCAGACTGGGCTAGATGCCCAGACACTTGGCGATTTATATCCGACTATTGTGTTTTTCATGGGGACAATCTTATCTCTTGGACCTCTAAACGACAAGCCACGACTTCAGTCTCTAGTGCTGAAGCTTAATATCGAGCAGTAGCCAATGCTGTTGTTAAGACTAGCCGGATTTGAAATCTTCTCCTTGAATTTCAGTAGCCCCTGTGACATGCCAGCTTAGTGTTCCGCAACAACATCAGTGCGGTATACCTTTCCACTAATCCCGTCCAGCATAAACGCACTAAGCATGTCGAGGTAGACATCCACTTTGTATGTGACAAGGTCGCACTTAGACACGTCAGAATCCTTCATATATTGTCTTCTTCTTATTATGCTGATATCTTTACTGAAGGGCTCCTATCTGTGTTGTTCAGTGACTTTCGTTCAAATCTTGGGATTCATCCTCCATCGTAGCCGAGATAGCTGGGGACATGTTAAATATTTTCCTATAGGTTTCCTATTATATTATCCTACCATTATTAGGATACGGATTCCTTGTATATATATTGATGTAATCTCCCACAAATCAACCAAGGAAAATATTCATTCTTCAGGGTGGTCACGAGATTGTGTGGTCGGGGTTTGAGGAGAGGTTTGTTGGTCACCAAACCCCTCCCACACCAGTTGTACCAGCTTGCTTAATAATCTCATCAGCCCATATGCCCGATATTGTTTTATTCTATGAGCGTATCTTATAAAACCAACAAAATTATACCAAACTCCAAACTTTTAGATCTGCATACTTTTCATGATTAGACTGACACTTTTCCCCCAATTGTAAAAATAGTCACTATTCATGTTCTTTTGTTTGTTGTCATTGCCAAACTGTGGGAAGTGCATCTACTTAGTATTATTAAGGCTTTTATGCATGGAGCCTACATGAGAAAGTTTATTTAGATGAAGTTATTTCCATACTTTTACAATAATTATCTTGAGAAAGTTTGGAAAATCTCTCTATGATCTACGACAATCCCTATGCAATTGGATTGCTAAACTTGCCACTGCATTTTGTCACTATTGCTTTCACCAAATCATACCGATCACACTTTATTTATTTTCCATCAAGGGATGAATATTATGATTGTTTTATTCTATGTTGATGACATTCTAAATATATTTAATAATATCACATTATGTTCATCTTTTAAGTGCAATATGGATTGTTATTTTCATTTGAAGAATTTGAGGCCCCTGCTATAGTTTTGGGGTATTGAATGTGCCCAGTCTCTAGAAGGAATAGTTTTATGCCAATGCAAATAAGCGTTGTTTCTTTTACAAGAAGTTGGACTTTTAGGACACCTGTAAGCTAGTTGGAACTCCTCTTCAACCAAATCATGGCCTATCAGAACCCGCCATTGTAGAACTACGTGACTCAGTGCAATACTGTTGTATTGTTAGGTGACTACTTGATACGTATCGTATCGGATATGGAAGGATTTTGAGAACCTTCAAATTCTAATAAGAAAAAAAGCAAAAATTGAGGAAATAAGAGAGACGAGTTGTTCGGCTAGAGGGGGAAGAAGGGAGATTAGGGTTTGAGAGATAATATTTTCTTTATTAATTGAATGAATGATTCCATGGTGATTGATACATTTATATGCTCCACACCTAAAGAATCTTAGTTATAAAAGGCAACTAAATAAATTAGAAATGCTAAATATAAAAGGTAACTAATACCTTAATAATTTAGTAGTAGTAATAATAATACTAAATATAGTCTTGTAACACTCTTCTGCCCTCGAAAATCAACTTGTCCTCAAGTTGGACATCCAACAAAGAACGGGGCAAGGTGCGTCGTTCACCATCCATCCTCCAGGGTCAAACACCCTGATCATGGGAGCATCAAAATCATTTTTTGGGTCAAACACACTCCCAACACGACCTACATAACTCCATGCAACCAACGGTAAGAAAACGATTCCATCTTGTGTGGAACATGCAGAATTACAAAGAACAACAACTTCGATCTAAATCTAGAGTCCTAAATTCATTTGTGCAGCCATAAAAATCTACATTGTCGGCGTAAACTTTCATTGGGATATTGAGGTTGCGACAATGGTCGTCCCCATAAACTTCTACCAAGATATTGTGATCTTGTTGGTGTGCGTCCTTATCAGCAACTTTCATAGGAAAAACATCAATAAAAAGAATACGACCATCATCGCGAGTAATACTAATAATAACATCAACAACCTCTTCAAGGAGATCGGATTTTGGAGTGGAATCACATAAGATTTGATAAATGAATTACGTGTTAGATATAAGTAAATCTATATGGAGTATTAATTATTTCAGTTGAACACAGCTTAGCTGCCATTTTGATAAATGAATTACGTGTAAGATATAAGCAAATTTTTCAATTTAAAAATTATATTTAAACTTTGAATTATTTACATTGATCATTCTGTACCAATGCCTAAATTTCTTTTCCTCGCATGCATATCATTTTATTTTAAAATATGTACTCACAGTTTTTATATTCACCTATTTCATATCAAATTTATTGAAAAGTTCTGAATTTTTTTAAAATTTTTTAAATATGAATATATTTTTACTCAACTTTGTTAATATTCTTCCATTCAATTGTTTAAAATATTCAATATGTATGAACTATTTTTTTCCATAAAAATATAAAAAATGAAATTAAAGAGTCATGGTTAGACATCATTTTATTCCTATTGATGTATATATAAAATTGATAAAGAATAATCAGTGAGCTATATGCATACCTTGATAAATCAACAATTATACATTTTAATTATCCATGATTTCTATGAAACCTATGAACGACGTTTAATTTTTTTACGGATGCAGATTATAATTGATAAAATAACATGACTATAATTAAAAAAAGTACACATATTTTTATCTTTTCTTGGAGTGTTCATTTTCACATGGAGAATTTGTTAAATCCTTCTAAAATTGACATCTAATTTTAAATTTTGTATAAAACTTTATTTATTTTACATAAATTAATTTATCTATACTAACAATTTAGATATGAAGATAAAAAAAATTTTCAATGCTCATTAAAAAGCAACCTTATAAATTTTAAATACAAAAATTCTGGTCACTAAAATATCCTGTTTGATTTTGTTATTTTAAAAAATTCAAAAATGTTATGTATCAAATTACCTTAAAATAATAAAAAAAATTAAATATATTAAGATAAAAAATATTTAAAGTACGTACCTTTTCTATCCTTTTTTGTTGAAGTATTCCTTTTCTCCTTTCTATTGCATCTCTAGCTGATCTCGTCCATGTATCGTCAACTTGATTTTCCATAGCCCCAATTGAAATTGAAAAATAGGATGCTCCTACCACCAATCCTTTTAAAAAAAAAAAGTCTGAAGTTGAATTAACGATTCTCCGCTTATTTATTGCATAATTAATTCTGAATGCCTATGTATTGAAATGGAAAATGAAAATGGGTGGTGGATGTCACATTTCAACTTATTATATACCTTTTTTTATAATAGGATTTTGACCCAAGTATATGAGAGTTTCCATAAATTTGGATACAAAAGTGAGCAATTTAACTCATTGTCAGTTAGATATATAAGTAAGGTTTAAAATAATATTGGGTCCATCCTAGATATAACGAATTCCTTACTAAAAATAAACGAATCCAGAATAATATTATTGATTATCCAAGATACATAATTAACGATTGCCATATATAAGTAAAGGGATCCAAAATAATATTAGTATTACCCAACATACATAATATAAGTAAGGTGATGAATAATATACTCGTGATCATAGTTTTCAAATTTAGTACTATTTAGGATTGTTTCTTAATAATATTTTTGTAAATTTTGTCAATTACCATATGTTAAGAAAATAATCTATTCTTGGAAGTCATATCATACCATTCATGGCTATGCATGAATCATTTTCTCACGCACGGCCCTATTAGGATAGTTTCACATTCAATTATTTACTTACCTTTTGTATTTTAGGAAGGACTTTATTATGGTGGTAAAGGATTAATATATGTAGCATGGTCCTAAAATTCTATTTAAATTAATTTAAAATATTATATTTTTTATTTTTTAAATAGTATTTATATTTCTTCGTATTTATTTTTAATTTTTATATTATCATCTTAATTGGAGTTCGTATTGTTGTAATCTGAATACATATATTTACATATAATATTATTGATTATCCAAGATACATAATTAAGGATTGTCATATATAAGTAAAGAGATCGAAATTAATATTAGTATTATCCAAGATACATAATATAAGTAAGGTGATGAATAATATACTCGTGATCATAATTTATAAATTTAGTATTATTTAAGATTGTTTCTTAAAAAGATTTTCCGTAAATTTTGTTAATGACCATATATAAGTAAGGTGATTAATAATATATACTAATGGAAATAAGACAAATAAGTAAGTAATCAAAAATAGTATTGGAATTTCTATTAGTATAGGTACTCTATTGATTTCAACATATATATACACGAATTTCCATTAATAAATATTTGTTACTTATTAATTTTAGTATGAAATTTATAAATATGGAAGTAAGATAAAGGATTAATATATGTAGCATGGTTCTAAAATTCTATTTAAGTTAAATGAAAATTATTATATTTCTTTTTTATTTTTTAAATAGTATTTATACTTTTTCATATTTATTTTTAATTGTTTATATTATCCTCGTAATAGGAGTTCGTATTGTTGTAATCTGAAAACATATATTAACATATAATATTATTGATTATCCAAGACACATAATTAAGGATTTCCATATATAAGTAAACGGATCCAGAATAATATTAGTATTATCCAACGTACATACATAATATAAGTAAGGTGATGAGTAATATACTCATGATCATCATTTTCAAATTTAGTATTATTTAAGATTGTTTCTTAATAATCTTTTTTGTAAAAAATAATATTCTAATTTCCAATAATATAGGTACTCTATTGATTTTAACTCTTATTATACACGAATTTCTACAATAAACCTTTGTAACTTATTAATTTAAGTATGTAATTTTTAAATATGGAAGTAAGATAAAGGATTAATATATGTAGCATGGTCCTAAAATTCTATTTAAATTAAATGAAAAATATTATATTTATTTTTTAAATAGTATTTATATTTTTTCATATTTATTTTTAATTATTTTATATTATCATCATAATAGGAGTTCGTATTGTTGTAATCTGAAGGAAAGAATTTCGTTGAAGGCCAGTGATTATCGCGTGAAAAATCTGCGGTCAATTGTTTTCAACGGGAGATTCGCTGGTGCATCGTATATAATTTATTTCCGCTGGTTTACTCGGATACTACATGGCGTGTTGACATGTTTAAATTTTACCACATAGACATGCCAAATGTCGAATTTCAAATGGGATCAGGTTGATTGTTACTCGACTGGGCAATCATCTTATTCAAGCTACGGTGCTTACGGGGAAAAATATTGGACAAGATGTTGTTATCCCACGGTTGTTGCTTACACCGTCAGATACCAGGATTCCTTTTAAGTTTCAAAGGAAACAATTCCCAATAATGATTTCATATGCAATGTCAATTAATAAAAGTCAAGGGCAATCATTGTCGCATGTTGGGCTTTTATTGTAGAAGACAGTTTTCAGCCATGGCCAGCTTTATGTAGCGCTTTCACGTGTCACAAATCACAAAAGTTTAAAGATCTTGATATGCAATGAAAACCCAGCTAAGATGAACCAAACCGCCAATGTAGTTTATAAAGAAGTTTTCCAAAATTATAATGTAATGGTTTCACAATCTATATCATTGATATTTCCTCCACTGAAATATTTCATTCTATATTCTTATGTTTATTTAATCATATCGAGTCTAGTTATATTAAAGGATTGCTCATTTATTTACAAAGCTTTGTCTAATTCTACATTTGAGTTTTTACTATCCAAAGAACAAAAAACACAATCAGGGAAGGCTATCGAGGAAGCAGGAAGCTCAGCTAATACTCCAAAAGGAGGCGAAACACCACGGAGAACCAGGAGATGAAATCAGAATTGAGCAACAAGCTAAACCTACCTATGCGGAAATTCTTACATCCACGGAGGTACAAACAAATCTCAGTTTCTATCAATTTGAAGAAGTAAATGGAAAAAGGATTGCTAGGTTTACTGACGAGGATGTGATTGAGGAAAAAGGACTCTGGGACAATGCGGTTATCTGCTATATCCTAGGAGCGAATCCACCTCTGGAAATCGTAAAAGGATTTATCGCCAGGATCTGGAAGGATTATACAGTGGATGATGTGAGTTTCCATAAAGAGGGCCAATATATTGTAATGTTTCAGAAACCTGAAGATAGAGATGAAATTGTGAAAAGGAAATACTACTATTTTGACAATAAACCGATGTTAGTACAGAGATGGAACCCTGGGAAACAGCTGAATATCCAGGAACTGAGTGATGTCCCAATCTGGGTCCAATTTCCTAACCTTGATATGAGGTATTGGAGTTTATCAGGCCTGGGAAAACTGGGAAGTATATTGGGTAAACCTATCAAAAGGGACAGAGCTACTGCAACAAGAG